GATTCAAAAGAGGACTATGTGTTCTGCTGGAAGATGACTCATACCATGTGAACTTGCTTTGTTTGTCCCTTCTCAGGCTGCCGGTTCGCAGAGACGAAGGCTGAGCACGCCAGGTGGGAGGGTTACCCTTTGACCCGATTGTTTGAAGTGGCACAAATGGACGAATTGGTTGAAGCCTTGTAGAAAGACCCTCTTGAATGGGTTCCTTGTTGTTCAAGTCGCGTTATGTTCGTGTTTTGAGGGCAAACAGCCAATTAGGTTTTGTTGGCCAACAGGTTCGCTCAGTTCTACCGAAAGGTTAGCCGAGGTGAGTTGAGGTCAGCTAGAAAGTGAGTTCGCCAAGTTAGAAAAGGCAAGCCGCAAGATGGCTCAAGGCTCGTCTGAGAAGTTTCTTCAGGCTTAATATGACACACTGTGGATGGCTGCGCAATCCATTTCGACTCTTCAGAGGCCCCACGGAATAATTCGATCCCCCTGCAAATACCAACCAACGTTATGGGTTTCAACCATGATCTCCTGACTGCTATTGGGTTGGATCTTTAGACTTTAACTTTTTGGGAAATAAAGGTGTTTTCCACCAAACCCGCAAAAAGTTAAACTTTTTGAAGGGGGGTCAACAGCAACCAAAATCTCATTTCGTGGTGCGTATGGATTTTGCAGCCATCCACACGAAGTCTCCGGCCGCACGCGTCTCGCCCCTGTGGTCGACTGGGGCTTGCTGTGCCCAGCCAGGCCTCCGCTGTGTGTGCTGCTGCCGGGAGAGGCTGCGGAGCTTGCGCCAGGTGCGTGTACAGTCCTTCCATCTGGCTGCCCTTTCCTTCTTGAATCTTTGAGTTTTTGTGGGTCTGGGAGGGTGAAACAGCAGAAACACGGGATGTTTTTCAACATTGGCTCTCTCTCTCTCTCTCTCTGCGAATTCCTGGACTTTAGGCACTTCTTGGGGTTTGGAATACAAAAAGTTTGGACTTTTCTCGGCCCATCAGCTCAGGAAGTTAGTTACCAGTTGAACTTGGTCCTGCCCGGCAGATGAAGACGGAGCCGCATATGTCGACCGTGGCTCATTTAGGAGTTTTCAAAGTTGTGAGGAGGGGCTTGTTTTAGGGATCAATGGTCGTTTTGAACGAATGGGTGCTCGAAAGATGCGAATTTCACCTGGTCTCCGTGTTGTCCCCTTTTCTTTGCAAACGTTGAGAAAGGAACCAACTACGTCCTACCACTGCACAATTCAACTTGCGGCAAATTGCTGGATTTCCCTACATTCTAGGGCATTCGCTAGCACGCCGAAGGACCATACTACGCACGGATCGCAGCCGTTCTTTTGATAGTGCGTTGATTTGCTTGAACGGAAGCCTTTGAGTAGAGTCCCGTTTGGGTTTTTCAAGCAGTGGTTTCAGCATCTTGAACGGGCTTGGCCCAAGTCTCGCAGGGTCTTTTGGGTTCAGCGGCCATGTGGTGTTGACATTGGCAGACTTGCTTTCCCAGCGTCAGAATACGGAGGATGACAGTTCGCACTGACAGCTGAACCTGTAAAAATGCTGACGGAGTAGAAGGGAAGCCAAAAGTGAACCTTATCACGAAGACCAAATGTAGTCAAAAAGAAGGGAAGCAAAATGAAAACCAACAAGGAGCCAAAGGGTAACCAGCAAAGAACCACAGGAAAGGTCAACACCCATACCATTGGCATGTTCACAAGGGGGTACGGGGTTTTCACCCACCACCATATTTTGCACAAAGAATGCAGATTGGAACAAACATGCAGGGAAGCCATTTGCTTGAACAAATTGCAGGGAAGCCATTTGCTCGAACAAATTGCAGGGAAGCCATTTCTTTGATTCGAACCACCACCATATGTTGAAGGACAAAAATCGGCAGGAGCCGCTGGCCACCGGCCAGGTGTGCTGGAGCTCGCAGAGCGGTTCCTGCTGCGGATCACCGCTTCTTGGTTTCGGAGTTCGGCGGCTGAAAAGGTCCCGGGGCTGGAGCGTCTGAAGATCCGCAGTTTCTCGTCAAAAATGGGGGCCCGGGGCTCAAAATCCAAGAGCTACGGTGGATGCCCCTTGCATATTGCAAGTAAGTCAACCAGAAACCATGGGAATTTAGAGGGTTTCCTTTGTTCCCTACTTGCAATATCTAGGGCATCAACCGTAGGGGAAACCAAAAACACAACGCAGATCTAATTTAGTGTTTGGTTCCCATCTACCAAGGTGCCACAGCCCAAACATGGGGAAATTGGGCGGGGGGGGGGGGTTCAAGGCTGTTGTCATCAGCGGGTCAGCGGATGGTTTTGTTTGGCGTTTTCGGAGCTTTCGGCCTGAAGCTAAGAATGTGCCCAATCTCAAGAAAGCGGATCCTGAAAGAAGGACGGATCGGATGGAACCCAAAAAGGGAGGATAACAGGAAAGGAGTTGCCAACTCCTGTTTGGTTCCTTTCGTAGGAACTCTTGATTGCGTGTTTCATCACAAGTAACATGAGAAGGGACTCTACCCAATTGGGCTTGAAACTGACCTGCAATTTAGCAGAAGCTACCCAAAAAGAAGGCCTTTCCCCAGAGGGAGTTCCTCCGAACATAGTGTTTGAAAGGGATACCCAAATCTAAGCCGTTGCCCTTCTAAAAGCTCCCCTACTTCCGGAAATGAACAACCAGACATGCCCATCAAAGGGGAGCCACAAGGAGCTTCTTTACCTAATTTCTGTTGGACCGTCATCCAAAAGGTGATTGGCCCAAGCCTGCCATTGCTGCCATTGCCGATGCCTCGGGAATTTGGGAGGGACAAGCTGAAGTTTGCCCGCGGGTGTGCTGTGCATGTGGGGCAACATTTCCTCAGTTGTGCAAAGCGAATCGACCTTTTGAGCTTTTGGTTTTCCCATTTCTTTGTCCATTTTTAGAGGTGCCAAGAGGTGATCACCTTTGAGTTCTGGGTCCAAACTGGGCACCTCTCGGGTGCCTTTCGTGGAGCTTCACCTGTGATGGAATACAGGGATGATGGTGCCACCTGCTTGGGACGCTGCACCTCCGGGAGGTGCAGAATTTTTTGGATGCGCGAAAGATCGTATCTCCGGGATTCTCCGGGTACCCGGTAAGAAACTCTATGGCCCGAGCTCGGGAAGCCGAAGTTCTTCTTTTAAGTCCGCGCAGGGAGGATTTGGGGTTTCAGGAAACACCTAGGCAATTTTGGGAGTCAGGGTGTTGCATACCTGTCTTGCTTCCCTACCTTAGCCTGTTCTTGTTTGTTGGGGTCCCTTTCTGTTCGACCCCCATAGCCCTAAAGGCAAGTGGGGGGGCTTGGACAAATCAGGTTCGTGTTGCTCCAGGACTGGTCACGAAACACGAAGAGCTCGGCAGCTTGCGTTGGATAATGCTTTCTTAAGGGATGGTTTGTCCCGTCATGGCCACCGAGCAAAACGATAACACATTTTTATCCACCACTTCACAATGTGTGGACCTGGTCCGGGCAAGGACGTTCTCGTCAATGTGGCGAAACTAGGTGGGCAGTGTTTGCATTGGTCATTAAACATTAGTCAGGTCAGGTAGTTAAAGGTTTGTTGACACGTCAGGGGAGCGCTGTTTGCCTGTGACTGGTGCAGAAAACCGATTGAGCTGGAGTAGGGAGTTGCCTGATTTGGAAGTTCCTACGTGATACCGTAAACTTCGGATTAGTCCCAATCGTTCCCCCCGAGAACTACCCCTGATTTGTGAGGGTCAGGCATGGGCTTCCCTCAAGTATCCCATGGTTTTGTGAACCAAGGATTCCCATTAGCCCTTGAATCGCAAGGCTTCAATCCTGTCGAAGATCATTGGCCTTCACTTGGGTTGAGGGGTTTGTGAGGGCTGAACCATTATATATATATATATATATTATTTATATGTATGCATCATTTGACCTGGGTCCCTTGTTGCTGGTGTCTCCTCGCCAAGGTACATGCCATGCCAGATGCTGCTGAGGTGCCCACTTGACATGCTTCCATGTTCCCTTAACGGACCCTCTGAACTAAAGACAGACTGAAACGGGTGTGTCTCTCACTTGGGTTCCTAAACTTTGATCACTTTTTGGAAAGGCCATTGTAGTGGTTTGGTCTCTTTTGGGTGCCGTTCACTCGGGAAGTGAGGCCTCCAATGGTTTGGATGCCACGTACTTCAATCTCGGCCAAACAAGGGTGAGATATTTCGACACTTGGGTGCAGACTTGTGAAATCATCTCGGAGCCAGTTGGGCTCAAATTACTACAGAATGTATACTTTGGTGCATTTTGCTTGGATGTTAGAACTTGAACTTTTTGCCAACTCATGGGTTTTCTATTAAACCACTAAAAGTTAAACTTGTAAGACTATCATCCCTTGTGTCGTGGAGCGCTTGTAAAGGAAGATGTCACTTGCCCAAGGCCCACTTTGCGATTTGTTTGAGGCAATGTATCAAAAGGCGAACCGTTTTCGAAAAATGGCTGACAAATAGTAACGGGAACAAGAGAACCCCCAACAGAGAGTTTCCGGGTCCTTTGCATGTGGAACTTTGTTTCAGATGCCGCAGCCAAAGTGTTTGGCTGCAGATGCAGGGCGACTGCTTGAAACACTTCTGCCATTTGACGAGATTTCAGCCGCCAGCCACCTCTTTCTGAGTCATGAGATCTTCCAAAGGTGCCAAACAAAATCCGCTTCAGCAGGCCCCCAACACATTCCCTCTGGTTGGTCACAAGTCATTGGTCAGCTTTCCAGCCATGGGCTTTTTTGTTTAGGTTCCGGGGCTGGGAATGCTATGTCTTGGCTAGCGATCCGGCCCCTTAGCTTTTGAGATAATTTTTTAGTTGGTTTCGTGGGGGGTTTGGCTCCGCAGAATTTGTTGTTTCGGATGTCCGGGGAATCAACTTTCTGCTGTTTAAAGAAGCAAATCACCATAATCACCCAAAGAGTTTCGACTTTTCGCGGGGGATTTGGGGACAGCCCAGATGTGGTTGCATTCTGTTGCAAAGGAACGAGGTCTGAGGACTCTGAGGCAGGCCATGCCATGGCCTGGCGCGAGATCGAGGATCTCACTGGAGAGAGCTTCTCCAGGATCGGATCGGACCGACTGCTCGAGCCTCGGGCCGGAAAGATGTCCTACTGTGGATGGACGAAATCCATTTCGCACCACCGTTCAGAAAGCCTGGAATGATGACTTCCCTCTAAATGCCAACCAAGAATGCTTTCCCATATTTCAAAGTGGTGCAGGATTTTGTCCATCCACAGTATGCTTTGGCTTTGCTACTGTTCCAAGGGTTTGGTTACAGGAACATCTACAGGACACGGCCCCCAACACGCCGTAAATCAGCGGTTTTCCTGTAGAGTTTTCTCTGTAGCTCAACCCTGTGAACTGTGGATGGTTGCATAATTCCATTTCCCACCGTTCAGAAACCCATGATTTGATTGCCCTGTAATACCGTCAAACAATGGTCTCAACTATGGTTTCAAAGTGGTGCCAACGAACTCAAGGCAAAGGGTTCCTGAGGTTTGGTATGGGTTTACTATGGCTTAGTGGGACTATGTGGGACTCCTTGGTGCGTTTGTGTTTTCTCAGGGTGAGCTTTCGGGGTTACATAGAAGGCAAAGGGGCCCGTGTTGGGTCGGGGGTTCCATATCCGGATTGCGAGGAACACTTCCCGGCAGCCTTCTCACAAGTGACATGAATGACATGAAGCTTTGAAAAACGTGGATCAAAACCAAACCCAGAGTGTTCGTATTAGTCTGCCTGACGGAATATTGTCCTGCAATGGGTACAGGAGGGGTCACAAGCGAAGGCTGCTACAGTCTGGGCTGCAACTGCTTCTCCGATTTTGCAGACGTCAGGATGTTGCCACCCGTTTGTAGAAAATGAAGGCAGGGCCTCCTTTTCAGTGTCAAAACCCTGCTTCAAGTTATTTTCTGGCCAAAGAACAGAACTATGATTCATCGCACAAATTGGCCTTCGGCCCCCTCTTGAGTCGAGAAATAAAGGGAATCCCCCAAGAGTTTCTACACTCCAAGAGGGTGTCCCTGGATTTCAGCCAAAGGTGTCAAATGGCAAGTCCTGCTTGGAATAGCTGCCATGTGCTCAAATGGAAGTTGCTTCCATTTGTTGAGTCTTTTTTTTGTTCGGGTTGGAGAGGGAATTTAACACATGTTGCAGGTTGGTTAAGTGTTGGTTTGGGGATTTGAACCCCTGGTTCTTGTTAATTGAAACCCCCTTAACCACCAAACCACCAATCCAAGCCACTAAGTAGTGGAAGCTGAATTTTTCACGTGAAAAGTCGAAAAGGGGGGTCAAAGGCAACCGCCGGCTCATTGGGATTCCAGCCAGCCGAACCCGCGAGGAGGACGGCGCAGAGCCAGCGCATTAGCCCCAAGGCTGCGTTGGAAGGCGTTCCCACCTGTTCTGTCGATGCGAGGGGTTGTCAAGCACACATACCCTTTTTGGGTGGGTTTGAAATGGTTTTTAGGGGCCACCCGATAGTGAAATACCCTAAAGAGGCACCAAGAGGAACCTAGTGTTTTGACCCTATTGCATCCTTTAAGCGCTAGTAGCCCGATTGGGGGGGACCGTCGTATTGATATACCAATGCATTTGCACTAATGATTGCAAGACCTGAGCAGAGCCTGGAGTACTGATTAGCAGTCAGCTGTTTCTACTACCTGCTTTCATGGCGGTTCTAGTACAGTACGCGCCAGGTACATAGAATCCATCGTTGCTTTCGCAGCCCGCACACGGGTCATCGTGGTCATTTCATGCAGTGTGGCAAGCACATATATATCAAGCATTTTGCAACTAAACACACACACACACACAGACACAACATACGTTCGACAGCATGCAAGGTGCGATGAGCACTGTCTTGTTTGGTTCTTGTTCTCGCGCTCAATTTCACTAGCGATGACTTGTTGTTGTTGTTGTTGTTGCTGCTGCTGCTGCTGCTGTTGTTGTTGTTGTTGTTGTTGTTGTTGTTGTTGTTGTTGTTGTTGTTGTTGTTGTTGTTGTTGTTGTTGTTGTTGTTGTTGTTGTTGTTGTTGTTGTTGTTGTTGTTGTCGTCGTCGTCGTCGTCGTCGTCGTCGTCGTCGTCGTCGTGGTCGTCGTCGTCGTCGTCGTCGTCGTCGCTGCTGCTGCTGCTGCTGCTGCTGCTGCTGCTGCTGCTGATGTTGTTGTTGTTGTTGTTGTTGTTGTTGTTGTTGTTGTTGTTGTTGTTGTTGTTGTGGTTGTGGTTGTGGTTGTGGTTGTGGTTGTGGTTGTGGTTGTGGTTGTGGTTGTGGTTGTGGTTGTGGTTGTTGTTGGAATGGAATACTTGCCGTGTTGCCTCAACAGATGGACACTAACATTTGCTGCGGCTGGGTGCAATCTCATGGCCTGTTGCATAGATTGATGAGATTGATGAGCAGTCTCAGTATATTTTTGTTGTTGGGCATGGATCGATGAACACTGCCAGTGTTTTTGAGTGAATGAGTGGGGGCTGGAGTGAGAGAGAGAGTGAGTGCGTGAGTGAGTGAGTGAGCGAGGGAACGAGGGACCCAGGGAGCGAGGGATTGAGTGATTGAGTGAGTGAGTGAGTGAGTGAGCGAGTGAGCGAGTGAGTGAGTGAGTGAGCGAGTAAGTGTGCGAGAGAGAGAGAGAGAGAGTGAGTGCGAGAGCGAGTGAGTGAGCGAGGGAGCGAGGGAGCGAGGGAACGAGGGAGCGAGGGATTGAGTGAGTGAGTGAGTGAGTGAGTGAGTGAGTGAGTGAGTGGGTGAGTGGGTGAGTGCGTGCGTGAGTGCGTGAGTGCGTGAGTGCGTGCGTGAGTGCGTGAGTGCGTGAGTGCGTGAGTGCGTGAGTGCGTGAGTGCGTGCCTGCGTGCGTGAGTGCGTGAGTGCGTGAGTGCGTGAGTGCGTGAGTGCGTGAGTGTGTGAGTGCGGGAGTGCGTGAGTACGTGAGTGCGTGAGTGCGTGGCGTGCGTGCGTGAGTGCGTGAGTGCGTGAGTGCATGATTGCGTAAGTGCGTGCGTGAGTGCGTCAGTGCGTGAGTGCGTGCGTGAGTGCGTGAGTGCGTGAGTGCGTGAGTGCGTGAGTGCGTGAGTGCGTGAGTGAGTGCGTGAGTGCGTGAGTGCGTGAGTGCGTGCGTGAGTGCGTGAGTGCGTGAGTGAGTGCGTAAGTGCGTGAGTGCGTGAGTGCGTGAGTGCGTGAGTGCGTGAGTGCGTGCGTAAGCGCGTAAGTGCGTGCGTGAGTGTGTGCGTGCGTGCGTGAGTGCTTGAGTGCGTGCGTGCGTGCGTGTGTGCGTGAGTGCGTGAGTGCGTGAGTGCGTGCGTGAGTGCGCGAGTGCGTGAGTGCGTGCGTGAGTGTGTGAGTGCGTGAGTGCGTGAGTGCGTGAGTGCGTGCGTGAGTGCGTGCGTGAGTGCGTGAGTGCGTGAGTGCGTGCGTGAGTGCGTGCGTGAGTGCGTGAGTGCGTGAGTGCGTGAGTGCGTGAGTGCGTGAGTGCGTGCGTGACCGCGTGAGTGCGTGAGTGAGTGCGTGAGTGCGTGAGTGCGTGAGTGCGTGAGTGCGTGAGTGCGTGCGTGAGTGCGTGAGTGCGTGCGTGCGTGCGTGAGTGCTTGAGTGCGTGCGTGCGTGCGTGCGTGCGTGAGTGCGTGAGTGCGTGAGTGCGTGCGCGAGTGCGTGAGTGCGCGAGTGCGTGAGTGAGTGAGTGCGTGAGTGCGTGAGTGCGTGAGTGCGTGAGTGCGTGAGTGCGAGAGTGCGTGCGTGAGTGCGTGCGTGACTGCGTGAGTGCGTGAGTGCGTGAGTGCGTGCGTGCGTGCGTGCGTGCGTGAGTGCGTGAGTGCGTGAGTGCGTGAGTGCGTGAGTGCGTGAGTGCGTGAGTGCGTGCGTGCGTGAGTGCGTGAGTGCGTGAGTGCGTGAGTGCGTGAGTGCGCGAGTGCGTGAGTGCGTGCGTGCGTGAGTGCGCGAGTGCGTGCGTGCGTGCGTGCGTGAGTGCGTGCGTGAGGGCGTGCGTGCGTGAGGGCGTGAGTGCGTGAGTGAGTGCGTGCGTGAGTGCGTGAGTGCGTGAGTGCGTGAGTGCGTGAGTGCGTGCGTGAGTGCGTGCGTGAGTGCGTGAGTGCGTGCGTGCGTGAGTGCGTGAGTGCGTGCGTGAGTGCGTGCGTGAGTGCGTGAGTGCGTGCGTGCGTGCGTGCGTGCGTGCGTGAGTGCGTGAGTGCGTGAGTGCGTGAGTGCGTGAGTGCGCGAGTGCGCGAGTGCGCGAGTGCGCGAGTGCGCGAGTGCGTGAGTGCGTGCGTGCGTGCGTGCGCGCGTGCGCGAGTGCGCGAGTGCGTGAGTGCGTGAGTGCGTGAGTGCGTGAGTGCGTGCGCGAGTGCGTGAGTGCGTGAGTGCGTGAGTGCGTCAGTGCGTGCGTGAGTGCGTGCGTGAGTGCGTGAGTGCGTGAGTGCGTGAGTGCGTGAGTGCGTGCGTGAGTGCGTGCGTGAGTGCGTGAGTGCGTGAGTGCGTGCGTGAGTGCGTGCGTGAGTGCGTGAGTGCGTGCGTGCGTGAGTGCGTGAGTGAGTGCGTGACTGCGTGAGTGCGTGCGCGAGTGCGTGAGTGCGTGAGTGCGTGAGTGCGTCAGTGCGTGCGTGAGTGCGTGCGTGAGTGCGTGAGTGCGTGCGTGAGTGCGTGAGTGCGTGAGTGCGTGAGTGCGTGCGTGAGTGCGTGAGTGCGTGAGTGCGTGAGTGAGTGCGTGAGTGCGTGCGTGCGTGAGTGCGTGAGTGAGTGCGTGAGTGCGTGAGTGCGTGAGTGCGTGAGTGCGTGAGTGCGTGCGTGAGTGCGTGAGTGCGTGGGTGAGTGAGTGAGCGAGGCAGCGAGGGAGCGAGGGAGCGAGGGAGCGAGGGAGCGAGGGAGCGAGGGATTGAGTGAGTCAGTGAGTCAGTGAGTCAGTGAGTCAGTGGGTGGGTGGGTGGGTGATGGAGCGAGCAAGCGCTGCATTACTTCGGTGCCATTGCCCCCGGCTTCGGCACAAGTGTTGCCTCAAATTGCGCATTTGCGATAAACGCTATGGCCTATTGCTATTGCGCTTCATGGAGGGCGCCGGCCTGGTGCCTAGGTCCCCCAGTAGTGCCTTTTTACCGTTTCTGGGGGAGGGTTCCCCTACTAAAGCAGACTACGTAAACAGTTGGTACCCTTATTCTAACCTCTCTTCTGGAGGACCTAGGTGCCTTGCCTCGGGGGGCGGGGAGTGACCTTGGTTCGAGACCTTCCCCACGCTTACTGTGAGCCTGTTTTGGGGTTTGCCTTATTCTGAAGGGTTTCCCCACGAGTCTTTGGTGCATGTTGCTTGGATGTTGGGACTTTTACTTGTTGCCAGCTGATGGGTTTTCCTTTAAGCCACTAACAGTTAAACTTTTAGCAGGGGAGCAGAAAGAAACCGAGGAGTAGATCTTGCGATCGATTTGGGCTGCCCGAGGCGTCATTTGCCCGAGCACGGAAGAGAGGATAATGTTCCACCCGCAACTCTACGAGTGCTTCGCTGCGCAGACCTACCATGACAAGGACCTGAAGAAGCGGACAGGCAATGACTCAGTTGTTCAGTGGCACCAGTTTTCCCTTTTTTCTCGGTGACTGCTCACTAAAAGTTGTCTTCCCCAAAAAGGGTTCCCTTTTTTTCCAGGGTCACTGAACAACTGAGATGATCAACTATATTTTTGTCTCCAAGTGTGGAGCCCCTTTTAAGCTGGTCCCCGTTTTTCTGAGACACACCCACAAAACGCCTCCGCGAACTTGACGTCCAATTTCCGTCTCAAGTGAAGCCGAAAGAGAAACCGAATTTCACTTGGGATGCCCCATGAAGTGTCAGGTATGGGTTTGCCTTTAAGGGAACACCCTTCAAGGAAACCCCCTTTCCAAGAGGAAAAGTCCTTCAATCCCTGCTTAGCTAATCCAAAACCTACGTTTTCACGTTCTGAACGCACTTTTTGCTTCTCACGTTCCAGAAGGCACGTTCTGACCAGATTTGTTTTCCGGTACATGGCCAACCACGCACTTGCAACCAACCCTCCCCCCTAAACAAATCGAAAAGAACGCATTTGGAGCCAGAAAGGTTGGATGCGTTTTCCGACCACAAAAAAACATATGGAACAATAAAGCTTGGATGCATTTGCCCAACCCCCGAAGTGCACTTGCAATGATTCTGCGTACAACCCTAATAATGGAACCAACTCATAGTGAAGCCCTTGAGAGGATTTCCATGTATAGACCCAAGACCTTGTGGATGGGTTTTGCTGACTCCAAGACAAGCATTGGGGATTGGTGGTGTGGTTCGGCCTGGTACCAGGTCGAAGAAATGCACATAGCTGTATCTCGACCTTCGTATGTCACCTGTGGGGAGGGGGGGTTGTTCTCTTATTAACCCCTCAAAAGGGCTTGTTAAAGGCTTATCCGTTGTTTATCCGGATAGCTTCCCCCCCCCCATAGACCCCCCTGGAGGTTCATGATGAACGCACGTTCCAGAACGCACGTTTTACGTTCCTTGTGCCGCGGCTAAGTTCCTCAGTCCTTCCCGCTGAATAGAAAGACCATCCCATCCCCTTTCCCCCATGGAAACATTTGGACAGCCGGCTTTGGGACTCCGCTTCTGAGTTTCATTTGCTCAGTTCATTTGGCCAGCGGATCCCTGTGTCCCTTTGAGCCCCTCTCCTCGCTGCCTTAATGTCTAAGCGAAGGGAAATCGAATCGGGCGAGTCCCCTAATTTCGACGGAACTGCCTCTTGGAGTTGCTTGAACCAAGGGCTACGGCAGCGGGCAAAGTGAAAACAACTGGAAACGGAATCCGGCTGGGGCGTGGTTTTGGAGATGTGTGCTTGTTGTAGACGTGTGCTGGTTGTTTCCGAGGAGCGCTGCTCTAAAGTCAGGTCGCGCATGGTGACGCTGGAGGTGTTTCTGCGTGACTGTCAGGGCTCAAGAAAGGCACGGTGAAATGTTGCTTTTTGTCGCCCACTGCGATGTATCTGCAAGATCCTGTTGCTCACTGCTGCGTTCCGCTGTACCTTGAGGAGGGCTGGACGGAGGTCGACGCGCGAATGGACAGCTCCACGGGACACTTCAGGCAGCTGGTTGCTGAGTCCGTCTCCGCGCGCGGTCGCGCTGGGTCGGGCGGGGGACGCCTGGCGCTGACACCATCTTGAACGTCCCCAGACCGTCTCGTCGTCTGGGATGGTGTTGGACAAGTTGGGGGGGTCGCTGGTTACAGGGGAGTCATTGGGCGTACTCACCACTTGGCCAAATACGGGGTGCTTCACCCAAAGCTAAAGCAATCCTATTTTGATTTTGAGCGCATGGGCCTGTCCTGGTTGAGGGCTAAGGGAAACAAGGGGTGCCCCCTCATGAAATACAGGACATGTCCCAAAAGTTCCAGAAAGGGGCGCTTCTGCCTTCATCCAAAACTAAACGTCGAAATGTCGCCGCAAGACAAGGTCAAACGCAAAACTGTTAGAGATGCGCCTGTGAGGATATGATTTGCCCCCTTCTCTGCGATACCAGGGAATACCCCCGAGTCATCGGGCATGCGTCAAAATGCGGGAAAGCCCGCAGCTCATTGCCTAATGCGGGCCGCGGGAAAAACCAGGCACGCAAGCCACAACAGTTCGGTGGCGTTTGGTGGCGTGGCGAGCAGTGCAGCTTTTTGTTTCGCGAGGAGTTGGTCGTCATTGACACCGGATCCAAACCTTCCCCCTTCTTCCGCCCCTCTGGCGGCAAGCAGCTGCCGTTTTGCGCAAACGAGCAGCTTTACTACCAACTAACTGCAACCCCCAACCAACCAACTTCAACCAGCCAACCTCAGCCAACCGTCGCCAACTAGTTTTAACCAACCGACCGACCCACCCACCCACCAACCCACCAACCTACAAGCCACCTACCGACCCACCAACCCACCCCACTCCGCCACACAACCAACTAACTAGCCTGCCAACCAACCAACGGATGAGCAACACTCTGTCAGGGGCCTACCGTTAGTGGTCTGATTGAGCGTTTTGTTTGTGGTTTGCTGCAGCATGCAGCAACCCAGTTGTTCCGAACATGTGTTTTTGTTTCCAAGGGAAACTAACGGGAAACCAACCGCTTGTTTGGGCCGGCATTCAGAAAAAACACCTGCAGTGTTGTGCATTGAAGACAATAGCGTATTGGGAAGCCTGCTTGGATGTCCACCCTAAAAGTTGTTCTCCAATCATGCTCAGGCTCAGCGCAGAGTTCGGGCTCGACCTTTGAAATACCTGCTTTGGATTGCGCCCCGCCAGCCAGGCTTGCTTCCTCCGAAACAAGTCAGTGTGGATTTTTGTTGCTTCTGCCCTATTGCCTTGACTCAGGTCGCATCACGCTGGAAGACCCGCGCGTGATCTACAGGCACTTTCCCGTAACAGCCACTGAGCCGCTTGTTTGCACGTTCAAGCAGCGAGGGCCTGGTATTGACATTCTGTTCCAAACCACAGATGAGACATCGCGCCAGTAACTTGTGAGAAAGGGAAATGAACGGTCATATGGGTGTGGCTCAAAATTAAAGAGCTGGGGTTACGCGGGTTTCAGTCTTTGGTTCCATTTACCAGGGTGCCATTTTGGCTCGAGTTTTTTGAGCCACAGCCATATCATGCGCAAATGGTTCGTAGCTGTTGGGAGCCCTAATCACTCCATTCCATGTCCTCCATTTGCTTAGGTGGCCAGTGGGCCTCAAGCGGAACTTGGCCATCCTCCTGGCTACTGGATGCTGAGCTTTGACGAAGGCTTTTGGAAGACCTAGATGCCCCGTTTCCTTCCCTCCAAGAAAAGATGGCCCTAAAACCGGACACAGCCAAGCTGACCAAATCCCCGAAGCTTCCCTTACCTCCAAAATCTCCCGGCAAGAGACCCCAAATAGTTTTGAGCAAGGCTTAACTTGACGACGGGTGCCCGGAAGTGTAGAAACACGTTAAACCCTGACACCTCCCTTGCGTGATGATCAACAAAACGCAAACTCATCAACGTCTGCTCAGGCAAAGCTGCTGCAAGTGCTTTGCAAGCTCTCCTGTCAACTTCTCTCGCGCGCGTGATGTTGTGCTTGGTGTCGCACTTGGTGTTGCATATGATGCTGCGCGTGACGCTGTGCATGTTGCCCATGATGCTGCGCATCCTGTTGTGCGTGATGCTTGGCGTCCTCTCTTGCCCAATCTTTCATGCCCTTTTCTCTTGTCAATGTCTTTTGTCCGTATCTGTGCGCAGTTTGGCTGCGCAAGAAGGCTGGCCGTCGGAAGTGGTGACGGCATGGTGTCACACTTCGTACCCAAGTTTGGTTCTGGGTGTTTTGGAAAATATATGTACGAAGCGGGTGCATTTATCAATAGGGGGCGGGGGAAATTCTTCGCATGTGCAGTTGCTTGATGCCGTTTCCTGCCTGCGAGCTGCAGAAAGAAATGCCGTTGCCGCTTCACGAAGCCCTTCAGACACCACGCTGCCTAGGCCCGAAAACATGAGCAGTTGTTATGTCCAGGTGCTGTCAGCCCGCTGAGCTGACAGAAGCAACTTGTACACGCTTCAAGATTGCAAAGACCGGGGTCCAAGAAGATCCGTGAAGAGTTGTGTTGTGACACCAGAAAGCAGGGATGCTTCGCATGGCTAAGCCAAGTGGCACTTGAACAAACGCCAGCGCCTTTGACGCGTGTTTTTTTGTGCGAGCACTCACAAAATGGAGCTTCATGCTGGCAGTTTTGTCGATGGACGGGGGAATCATGCCATGGGCGCGTGGATAATTTTTGCAGGACCAATGCCTTAAACAACAAAGACCCTAAAGAAGATAGCTTCAATATGGGCCCCAAGTGACCAAACGGCGGGGACCCCCACCACTTTTTCATGCAGTGCTTGATACGCGTCCAAGCTGCTGCCCACCTTTCTGAGTAGTGTCCGGCTGCTGCAAAAGTAAACCCATCCCCACCCCCCACTCCCCACCAAGCCACCCAGACACATGTCCAGATCGTATCCCTAGAACAGGCAGATACCAGGATAATGTGTTTTTGGGTTCTGTCAGGAGCTATTATTGCACATTTCGACGATGACGACATTTACGCTGCCAAATACTTAGACTTCATGCTTCAAGGCTGGCGCTATCTCAAACCGAGGGAGGTTTCCTGGTTTCATTTTAGAGATATGGAGGTTATATAAGAGGGGTACATATGCCGAAACCCATTCCGGCCCATCCCACAAATTGGAGCTGCTCGAATGAGCCTATGAGGCTGACGTGAACTATTGTTTTCAAGAGCGAGTGCAGGCAGAATGGGGGCTGGAATGGAGTAGGCTCATGATTTTGCCAGTCTGTTGTGGGGCCCTTTCCCCGCCCGAAAGGCACTGAGTTCTGACCGCCGGCTTTTCGAGTCGCCTCATGGAATGTCACAGCCAAGCTTGGTTTGTCAGAGGCAAGCATTGGGCATGTGGCGGTTTCGCCTGGGGCGCACCGAAGGGAAAGGGCTGTACGCACCTTCGAGAGTGTCTTCCAGTTTGGGCAAGCCTGAAGTGTGACTCCAATGTTTGGCTGTTCACCTTCGGGAAGTGATGAGCGGGCCGTGAATCGAGGTTCCTTTGGGGATTCCTTTCTGTGCAACTCCCCGAGTGGATCCACCAATTCGGGGGTTAAAAAGAAGGAGCGCGAGCCCCGGGATTCCCACCAACTCCAGAAGTTGCCAGGTTTCTGTTGGATGTTGGTCGCTTTAGTTGAATTCATGGCATGTCCGGGTGAGTTGTGCTAAGTCGCGATGTTATGATTCCGAGAGGAATTCCAAGCCGACAGAGAATCCTGCTGTAAGCCCCTTGCCCCGCCATTAAAGGGCTAGAAAATCGGGGTTCGTTGCGCACGTGTGTCTTTTGTTTGTTTTGTTTTAAGGTGCACTCCTCAAGCGAATGCGACCCAAATATAACAACGATGAACACGCCCTTCGACGTCCAAGTTCGGGCCTTTGGTTGCCTGGCCGAGTTTCACAATGGGTTTTCTCACCTCTTTTTTGGGAAATGAGCCTTCCCAAGTCATGGAGCCCCAAGCCTTTCCCGTGAGAAGTTCGAGTGTTTCCATCAAGACTGGGTTCTCTTCCTTTCAGTTTCTCTTTGAGCATGCTTCTCCTTTTGTTTTCTTTTGGTTTCACCCACATGTTGATTGGACGCCCATCGGATAAGACTGACTTTCCTACATGTTTTCTCTGCTGAATCCCTTTACAGCTTACTTCCTGTCCTGGACTTTAGTCATTTGTTGGGTTCGGACCAATTCAGTGGTATAAACTTGACTGCTATTGGGTTGGATCTTTAGACTTTAACTTTTTGGGAAATAAAGGTGTTTTCCACTAAACCCTCAAAAAGTGAAAAACTTTTTGCAGGGGAGCAACCAAGTAAACCAACAGTTTGGTTCCTCTTCCTGGCCCATCCACTCCATCGGAAACCTCGGACCTTTCTGAGTCGAACAAATGGGTATGGGTGAAAATGAAGCCGCCAATTGGACCGCAGGGTTTGGTCCATGTTTCTGTTTACCAGGGCAAGCCATTTTGAGGTTGCCCCATTTCTGAACAGCAACCTCTGGCAAGTAGAAGACCCGTCCATTAGACACCCTGGTGGTGGGTCTCAAAACCAGGTTGTTTTGAAGGCCCTAATTCAATTGATTTGGAGCCTCTGGGGAGTCAAAAACAAAGCGTCGGCCAGGCCTTGCTGGGGTGGAGGCGGCCACCTTGGCCAGTTGGCTGGTGCTGGACGCGTGCACTGGGCGACTGGCGCGAGTGAGGCCCAGGGAGGACGGCTCCCAGGCGAGCTGGGGTTTGAGGCTTGGGGGGGGAGGGTTGGGTTGCGGTTCGGGTGGGTTTTGAGGCTGGGAGGGGGGGGGGTTTGAGCCGGGTAGATGAAGGTTAGTAAGGGACAATCCCCTTGCCATAAATAGCTGCGGATGTCCGCCTTCTTAGTTCTTTGCATGGTTCTGGGCAGGCCATTGTGATACCGGGTTTTGATTATGACTCATTTGAGGGCCGGAGTTGAGGGGGGGTTGGGGGTTGGGGTTCGGGTGGTGGGTTGGCGGGAGGCTTTGTGGGGGAAAAAGGAAGTAGAAATAACCAGCTTGCCTGTGAAAGCGCGGAGGGGTGATGCCTGCTGCGAGTATGCTCCAGGGGCTGGGGAAGTGTTGCTTGTCCGACTAATTAAGAAAGTGTTTGGGCTCGCTTTACGTGGTGACACTATAGTCGGCGGCTGCGGATTGAGAAGCCGAGCAGGGACAAGACAAAACTCATAGGCTGGCGATCCATGAGGATCTGCGGAGCCAGAACTTGAACACTCATAGATCTGCAGGAGTAGCCATTCTTTTGTGGCCTGCGATCTAGGGAGAGACCTGGACCAAGCACAGCAATCAGGATGGGGCATGGAAGTGGTGGCGGTGGATTGCAAGGCAATGTGCATCCCAACAGCTGCCCTTTCAGAAATGCAGTAACTGTGAGGCCGACGTGGGTAGTCATGGATGGATACGTTTTATGTAGCTCCTGTCCATCCAAATGTTGTCAGTTTCATGCCCATGTATCCGTTAGTCAGCCGCAGGCGGTATTCGCGTTTTTTCCCGGTGACCCTCGGGATGTGTTCCAAATTAGTCTCCGCTCGGCGCATAGTTCTAGAGAGGCACATCAGGCGGCTTCACCTTTTGCTCGGATGCGGAAAGCTGGACAGTCAAGATGCTAGATTGTCTGAGGTTCTTGCTAGAGGCTTGAGTCATTCTTTGTAGTCTTTCTGGTCTTTTCTGGCGCTACGGCCGTGGGCAATGAAGATTCAGGTTCGCTGATCTGCTTGACTTGCTTTCCGCCTGCTCGAAACCAAAACCACGCCTCAGCAACCAAGTTGTTTTTCTGGTTGTATGACAGTCTCCTCAGTCAAACTATGTCTGAAATTCGCGCTGACGTGGCGAATCTGGGCCAAACATGCCACTGGCTACGAAGTGCTGGTACTTCATCCCTGCCAAAAACACTTGGTGCATGGAGTTGGCAAATAGATAGCTATGGCGCTCTGCGTCTTTTGTTGCAAGACCGGGTCGTGCCACAAAGGGGCAAACACTTCGTGTTCGTTTTCGGAAGTCGGCCACAGACCAATCCTTGAGCATGACTGATCCACAACCCCCATTGAGGGACTCCCTATTTTGGAAAAGAAACTCTGGGCTTTGGGCGTTCTAGCTGCACGGGAATTATTTCATGGCTCCACTTCAATCTTTGGTCAGGACTTCCCAAATTTAATTCCCCTTTTTATTTGTTTTCTTTTTTGGGTCCCCTTTGTTTTCCGCTGAGCAAAACAAATCTATTTGTTTGCAGTCCTAGTTTCAGCCCAAGAGGACAGCTGGGTCTTGGGCTACGGCTTTTCCTACATCTACCGACGTGCAGCAGCCCTGGCGCAGCCCTTCCAGCACGAGCACTTTGGAGAGGCTCGAGAGCTCGAGGGTTACATTGAATGAGTCCGAGGGTTGATTGAACGGCCCCAAAGGCAGCAGTTTGGGAAAAGTCGACCACATCCCGAGAAACTTGCAGGTGCTCGGTGGGGAATGACAAATGGAATGACTCCTATAAACTATAAACCATCCCTGGTGGTTTCCTTCAAGGGGGGTTTTCTGGGTTCATTCAAAATCGCGGTACGGAGTAATTTGCCCTTTGTTTTTTGCCCCGGCGCCTGTTTAACACCTGGCAGGTCTAGCTGTTCTGTGAGATTAGCATGATTTTGGGTAGATTTCACGTGTTCCATGTCAGATGTCTGCCAGACATACTGAGTTTCTCTCCAGGGCACTTCATTGAACATGGCAACACGCGACAACCAGGCCTGCTGGTGCCATTTGAAAGTGGACCGAAGCAGCTTCATGGTTTTGACACATACCCACATTTCTCCGATGTTGCAGGTTGGGCCCGCCTTTCCCCCATACAGGGCTTGAATGAGACAGCGCATGCAGGACTATGCCTTCATGGTGGCCTTGCAGCATACGCATGGGCGCCAGAGTGTACGAGCAGTGCATGACGAGGATGGTGCTGTGGGCTGTCAAACCGCGAGCTTGGCCTTGCTTCCATTGGCTTCAGGTAAGGCTTCTTTCAAAGGAAACTGTTGCCCGACTTGCCTTTCGGCGGGTGAAAAGACATGGAAACTTTGGAGACCCGAGTTATGCGGCCTCACAGGAAGGTCCCCCCATTCCCTTTGCGCAAGAGATCCACCATGTTGTCAACCCCACTGTGGCAGCAACTGTTTTGCCGGAGGGCCGTTTCCATTTTTGGCTTTTGGTCTTGAAGGGAATCTATCACTAGTGGACATATATGTTGTCCAGAGGTCTTAAGCAAATGCAGAGTATATGTTTTGGCCGAATTACGCTACGCTCGTTCACAGACGGGAATCAACGAATCCCCAATCACGGGGCCTTTAGTGTGGGCAATATCGCGCTACTTGCCTGGCGAGTCTATCAAGTGTTGAAATTGTGAAAACAATAAATCTGATAAGTTGTGCAGATGTAGCGTTTTGGTGTTTATATCATTATGCCAGGAACTAGCAAATCGAAGCTCATGTTGTAGGTCGTTGAGGTTTCTCGGGAGCGCCTATTGAGATGTTGGGAACACGGCTTGGCGAGGGCTGTTGTCATGGTGTGTGTGGCCGGGTCTTGATCATGTTGCAGATTGATCATATGGTTGGTTGGTATGCTGGTTCACTCTCGTGTTTTCATCCAGCAGCGATTAATCGGTAGTAGCAACGATAGTTAAACAACACCCAGCATTCGTGGTATTGTTGTTCCCCCTGCAGTTGTTGAGGAGATCATCAACTACCCCCAGCAGTGCCCTTGGGAGGGTTCCCCTACTAAAATAGACTACAGAAGAAAAAAAGTCGGGTACCCTTATTCTATTTGTTGTACTGGAGGACCTAGTCAATCTCGTGGTGTCATGCGTTTACTTTTTCATACACCTCCGTAGGCCGCTCCAGCATGGCCAGTCTTCTAGGGGTATCTTCCCCATTCGTCCAGGGATCCTTCTTTTCAGAAAACCATCAAAAACCCAGGGGAAACAGCCGGTGGTTGAAAAGAACGATGGTTGAAAAGAATAGGGAATCAACCCCTAGAAGTCTCTCAGACCCCATCACCAGGTTTGGTTGCGAAAGTGTGTTGCAGGAGGGCGTGGTTCTTCATGTGCAGCAGGGCCTCAATCTGTCCAACTCGCACGCGGAGGAGGATGGCAAGCTCTGGGATCTGCTGTTGCTTTCCCTGGGTCAGGGGCAACTGAAGGTGGGTGCTTTATCCTTCCCTGGTACGCATTGGAGCTGGCCAGCTTGCCAAGTCTTTTGAACAGCCCTTGGGCCCCTGCAAAATATCTTCAGCAAAAAAGGGAGTCAACCTGTCCTGCAACAAAATCAGCGTGTTGATAGGTATACTATTTTGCTACTGTATCTCTCATGGGCTAAAAAGTTGCGGGCAGCAGCGCCCGAAATCCAACATTTTGGTGAAGCAAGTATACTGTTCCCTGGTTTAGCAAAGGCCACGCCGAGGGCGAGTGTAACAACAATGTTTATGACCAGGTTGGCGGAACCAAAGATGAATGGGTTTGGCGCTGCTCGCACAATAGGGATCCTGCGTGGCTTGGAAGTGATATGACATGACATGATGTTTGTTGTTTGTGTTTGCTCGACTACTCTAGAATATAGATTCCTTGTTGGAGCAAGCTTGGCACCAACCACGCGGAGTGTCCAAGCCATCCCCCAGTCACGGGGCAATGTCGGAATGGACTCCGGAATCTGTTTTGTTTGAAGGGCAGTT